ATGGGGTGGGGAGAGACAGACAGACTCTAAAGATAATCAAAGTTGAGACATTCAGGAGATGGTAAGAAGGAATAAAGAACTGGCAGAACAGAGAGCTAAGGAGGAAAACCTTAAGAACACCAAAAATTATCCTTCTTCTCAAAACTCTGGGTTAATACAAAGGGCCAGGATCCTCTACTTTATGATGCAGAACATCACCTCATGCATACTCAACTGTTTCTTAGTTTTGCTCAAATATAAGTCTTCATCAATGAGTTCTTGTTCCTCTGGAACAGAGCATCTCCTGCAAAACAGAGAGTAAATCATCTTTTGGAAGCAAAATGTATTCTTCACTTTTACCATGTACTTTCCTTAGCACTATTACTGGGCAGTTTGACAATCCTCTAATATTATAGAGTTCAGATCTCACAGTAAAAACAAACAAACAAAAAAATTTCACTAATACGTAAAGCATGAGGAAGAATATTTTATGAGTAAAAACTGAAAGAGTGCTGAAGTTATTCAATGGTCAAAAACTATCCTAAAAACAAATAAAACCTAATAATTAGAAACTGTTATATCCATTTTATAAGAGAGTGAAGTACCCTGGAAGCCTATCTCCTGGACTAAGTGTCAACAGATAAAAAATAAAGTATTAAAAACGAAGCTTCTAAGAACTCAGTCCCAAATTCTAATCACATGATCTCATTATTCACCATGAAAAGGTACTTAGGCACATCTGAAGACCATTAGATTTCATTTAATTAATTTTCTCCATTTTAGACATTTTCCCCTAAAAAGCAGACTCTGTTGTAGAATATTTTTTTTCTATTAGCATTTATCCTGCAAAAAAGAATCTTAAGAAAGTCACAACTGGATTGAAGCAAACTGACTTATTACAGACATATGCGATTACTGAATCAAATAAAAAGTTGTTAAATTAAAGTTAACACAAATGGATATGCCAGGCAATATTTAGAGGTTGAATGCTGAAAGGAACACATGGTATATTAGGAAGACAAATATTTAAACAAATAGCACTGAATGTACAATAGGTACTGTTTACATTGATTCTCGATAAGAAACATAAAAATCAATTTAACCTGGAATGTAAAGACTTTATTCTTTAAGAATTTAAAATTAAGGGAAGGGGCATAGGGTCAGAAATGATGGTGGAATGTGATGATCATTATTATCCAAAGTACATGTATGAAGACACAAATTGTTGTGAATGTACTTTGTATACAACCAGAGATATGAAAAACTGTGCTCTATATGTTTAATAAGAATTGTAATGCATTCTGCTGTCATATATAAGCTAAAAAATAAAAGTCAATACATGTAAAGTGAACAAAAAAGAATTTAAAATCTCTTGAGGAGCAAAAGCATATACATATAAAAAACACCCCACAACACAAAACAGTATTTGAACAAATGTCATGAATCAAAACATGCAGGAAGTCACTGTAAACTACTGTCAATGGGAAAAGTGTCCCACAAGATATGGATAAGATCTGGATAGGCAGATGGAATGCAGAGGATCACTGAAAGCAACAGAAAGATGATCATGGAGGAAAAAGTAAGCATGGCACATGCAGGGAATAGTGAAGTCACAAATCTGGCCAAAGTACAAGATTTGTGTTAAGATATAATGAAAAATAAGACTGGGTAAGTAAGGTGGGGCAAGTCAGCATAGGGATTTGAATGTTAGCTGAAGAGTGTATAATTGAGATGAAGTATTTAGAATATAAAGACACATTAAGAGTTGTCTCAGGTACAATACTGAGACCTGGAACCTTACCTGTATTTTGGATGGGAATTATAGTAACAAAACCATCTTGCAGGTAATGTACATGGATCCACCTTGCCAGGAAGTTTCCTCCATTTAAGACATTCATCACACTGTACCCATGTCTGGTCAGGAATCTTCCTGAATGAGGGAAAATAGAAGTGTGACTGTGTATATCCTAGCTCTGTGCTCTGCCTTACATTATAAAGGCACAAAAAGTGAAAATAATTAATTTTATATATGAGTTATGTTGGAAATGTTATAGATGTATGAAATGTGTTTATTTTGAATTTCATAGATAACACTGACATTATTTATGGAGGTCAATAGTATTTATCTTGGCAAATTTTATTCTAAGCTAATAACAGGATAATTTTAACTCAAAAAGTTTATTAGGAAAAGGCATTGTGTATGTGTGTGTGTGTGTGTGTGTGTGTGTGTGTGTGTGTATCTGTGTTACATTATTACCAAGAAATAAAACCATTGAATCATTTTATTTACTTCTGTCCAACTACATAACAGATTTAAAATACACTTAAGGGAATCACTGAAGCACAGTCATTAAACCATCTTGCTCATTTCCCTGCAGATATTCCCCATCCCTTTTTTGTTTTTTTTCAAAAAACCCTTTGTTTATAATGCTTCAATCCAAAATTTTTAGGTTGATATTCCCAAAATTATTCTTTAAAAATGCTTAAATATCCTGACCAGAAATGGTGGCTTTAGACCAACAACTGAATTAAATTAAGATGAAGTCTTCCAGAGTTCAACTCTTGAAATACACACCCATTCCCATCCACTCTTAGAAATAGAATCCAGTAACCAATGCCCCAAAGACAATTTGTTTCTCTGTGAAAAGAGACGGCCCATATATAATAGTACTCAGTACCTAGGGTGTGAAGAGTGGAATGGAGCTAAAAGAGGGAAGACTAGAGAAAAGACAGAAAGAGGGGAGAGGGGCACCTTGGGCCAATTTAACCACTAGGGTGAGTTTTGTGTATGTTATATTTATACTGCTATAATACTAAATATTTTATTAGAGTGGTGTGTTTCTTTTAAGCCTAAGTTTAGTATTTTTCTTTATTGCTTCAAACATGCTTCTTTTTTAGTTACATAAGTAATATAATAAACTCCTTAGGAAGAACTAGAAAATACAGAAAGATATAAAGAAGAAAATAAAAAGCACTCATAATTCTACCATTCAAATACAATGTCTCTTCTTTTTTAAAACTCGTTTTAACACAGTGTATACACATTTTTGGACCTAGAGCTTCCTATCTCTTAGCTGCAGGATGTTCCAGACTTATAACCTTTAAGCTCTAAGCTCAGGCCTGACCTCTATATATTTCTACACAGACACTGATTCATTTAAAGCCAGACCTTGCAAAAGGTTTCAGCAGTAGTGTTGAGGTGAGGGAGGAAAGAAAAAGGTCATATTAGCCTGTACACATATATACAGAATAGTCTGTTGTAGAAAGATGACAGTATAATTCTTTCAGGCACACTTAGAGGCAGTAACTCTCTGTTTTGGGTTATATGCAATCACGGTGGATCTTTCAATCCAGGCAGGTAGGAGAGGCTTTTAGCTCATGCTTGCATTAAACAGGAAGTTAAGGAAGTTGTAGTATATTCCCTCGCTTTGTAGTGGCTAAAAACTTAGGTTGAGAGTTTTAGTTGCCTATATTTGAATCTTTTTTTTTTTTGCAATATTAATTTAGGATTTATTTTCCATTTCATTCTTTTTTTTATTTTTTTATTTTTTTTATTGGTTGTTCAAAACATTACAAAGCTATTGACATATCATGTTTCATACATTAGATTCAAGTTGGTTATGAACTCCCATTTTTACCCCAAATACAGATTGCAGAATCACATCTGTTACATATCCACATTTTTACATAATGCCCTATTAGTAACTGTTGTATTCTGCTCCCTTTCCTATCCTCTACTATCCCCCCTCCCCTCCCCTCCCATCTTGTCTCTCTACCCCATCTATTGTATTTCACTTCTCTCCTTGTTTATTTACCCATTCCCCTCGCAACCTCTTATGAGTGCTTTAGTATAACAATGAACGTCTCCCTCCATTTATATTTGAATCTTGGCTCTAACATTTTCTACTTGTCTTACCTTGGTCACTCTAACCTGGGTGTGGGGGGAGCTTCCACCGCACCCAAGGTAGAGGGGGACTCTCCGCTCTGGGGGGGAAGGTCCCTCTAACCTGGGTGTCAGGGGGAGCTCCCACCACACCCAGGGTAGAGGGGGACTCCCCATTCTTGGAGGAGAAGGTCCCTCTAACCTATAGGCTTTCAGTCTATCAGTCTCTACATCTATAAATAATGTCTATTTCAGAGTTACAGTGATTAAATTACTGCATGTAGAAACTTAGAAATGCTGGTAACAGTGGCCCAACCTATAATTCTAGTGACTTGGGAGGCTGAGACAAGAGCAGGAGGATCATAAGTTTGAAGCCAGCCTTACAACTTAGAGAGACCCTGTCACAAAATAAAAAATAAAAATGGCTGGAGGTGTAGCTCAATGGTAGATTGCCCCTGGGTTCAAAAGTCAGTTTAAAAAAACATTAGGGTCTGAGGTTGTGGCTCAGTGATAGAGCGCTTGCCTACCATGTATGAGGTATTAGGTTCGATTCTCAGCACCACATAAAAATAAATAAAAGTATTTTGACCATCTATAACTAAAAAAATACACAAAAAATTAGAACTATGTGAGGCTTATATGTAATCAATAAACAATTAGCATTATTACAATTCTGCTTCTAGCACATACACTCTCTAGCAGTATATGGATATCTGTGTTTCACTGCATTAATCATTGCTAATTTGAAAGGTAAAAAGGCATCTCATCTTAACATGCATTTCTTCGAAAAAATATAGAAGATGGACATGAACTGATATCTTTAGAATAAGGTGGAAACATACGTATAGCCATAGTTGCATATGAAACACATTTTTAAACATACATTTGTGTGGTAGCTTCCATTTAAAAAAAGGGAACATCCCCAAATGAAGTTTTAACATGTTAATTTTTGTCTTAATGGTAGTATAACTGTGTTATTATACAGCCTATCCTCTATATTATGCTCCTTTCCTGACTTTCAGAAGCATTTCAACCTCTTCATTGTGATTTCCTGACTTAGATCCAATAAACTCTCTCTTATTTCTATTCTACTTTTTCTCTAATACTGGTTTTCCAGTATTTCAATACTAGTTTAGTGTCAATAATATTCACTAGGAATAAAGAGAAAGCGAAGTGTGCTAAAATGAATGAATACCTACTCTATGCCAGGTACTGTGCTAAAAACATTATGCCACTTAATTCAATACATTCAGAGAAATGAAATAACCATCCCAAGCCCACCCAAATATTAAGAAGCAAATCCAGACATTTAGCCCAAAAATGTCTAATTAAATGGCCATCATTTTCCTCTATATTACACTGCCTCTATGAAACAAGAAATACTAAACTCCTGACGTATTTATGATTGAAACCACCTAAATGTTAAACCAGACTAAAGAAGTTTAAAAAATGATACAATTAGTAACTGTGCTTTCTCAATTTGTGAATTAAACTTCCTAATGTGAAAAACATTTTACCCTTGTTCCTTCGATTTGATCTATGAACATTACCCATAATCCTTCCCATATTCTTTATTTTATTACTCATGTTACTGGCCTGGCTGTAGCGGAGATCTCAAAATTCTCTTGAGATATCTTTTCCTTCCAATAAGCATTAAGCTTCTGGGCAAGGGCATTTATTGTCAATCTGAAAGAAAATGCAAAAAGTATGTAAAGGTTTAGCACTCGTTAAACAATCCATAATGATTAATCATGTTCAATAGTCACGTTGTGTAAAATAGACACAAGACCTAAAAAGTAGAGATCTATCAAATTTTCAGGGTTTGTAGAATCATGGAGAAGGCAAGTTGACCCTGGAGACTATGACAGAGGACCAAACTGCAAAGCTAGGACAGAGCCAAATACTGGTAATTTGATAGGAAGTTATTTAATTGTCAGATAATGACAAGTAATTGAGAATTAAGTTGAAAGTCAGAGGATCAAACACTATACCCTATCTCTTATGAATTAATCAAATATTAACTTAAAAATGTCTATATAGTTCCTCTGCATCAAAATGCTGATCATATTAGTAAAGCCCTAATAGATAAAAACCCCTTTGACATTCTACTATATAGCTGTTATTGGAGGCTGTGTGTGAGTTCTGGTTTGTGCTCTTTTTTCTTTTCTCTCTCTTCCCATGTAAACAAGGGTAGATTTAGGGTCACCAAAAATGTGATTTTTAGAAGTCAGAGACATGAACATTTGCTCTATATGTGTACTATGAATTGAAATGCATTCTGCTGTCTTATATAACAAATTAGAATAAATAAATACATTTAAAATAAAAAAGTCAGAGCATGCATTTTAATTGTAAAAACTTGTAGCTTCCTGGGCTTGGGTTGTGGCTCAGTAGTAAAGTGCTTGTCTCACATGTGTAAGATACTGAGTTTGATCCTCAGCACCACATAAAAATAAATAAAGGTATTGTGTCCATCTACAACAAAAAAATATATTTAAAAACTTGTAACTTCCTAATTAATAACTCCTACTTAATTATACAGCCCAAGAATACAACTCAATGCAGACCTATACAGAACACTACAGTCCAAGAATACAACCCAATACAGACCTATATACACCTAGAACACCATAAATTTAGAATTTTTAAGAATGTCTGGGCCCTGGCTGGGGTTGTAGCTCAGTAGTAGAGCACTTGCCTAGCACATGTGAGGCACTGGGTTCCATCCTTAGCACCACAAGAAAATAAATAAAATAAAATAAAATAAAGGTATTGTGTCCATATACAATGAAAAATATACTTTTAAAAAATGTCTGGGCCCTGTGGACCACTCCTCAAGGTTTCTGCAGACTTTTTCTCTTCTTAAGAAAAAAAATCAATCTTACGTCCAATTACTCATATTAAATTAGATTCTCACTATGGAGAAGAATAAAATAATCATGAGACCCCCTATAACTCTTATTCCCCTCTAACCTACTAGTGTTCCTACCTCCATATTTATATCTTTCCCTCAATACAGAACATAAAACTATACATTGTGTTCCCCTAAAAATCTACTAAAATCTGCTTTTAAAAGAAGTATAGCAGCATGTGATGGTGTGTGCATATAATTCCAATGACTTAGAAGGCTGAGGCAGGAGGATCACAAGTTTGAGGCAAGCCTGGGAAACTTACTGAGACCTGTCTTAATATCAGAAATAAAAAGGGCTGGGAATGAAGCTCAGTGGTAGTGTGTTTCTGAAAAGAAATATATCAGATGGGCTTCTGGGAAGATGGAAGAGTAGTATGCATGGAATCTATCTCATCTAGATAATAACCGCATTAGCTGAATTTGTCTGATGTAAGTATTTTTGAACTCAGGAATCTGTTGAAGGCTTGTAACTTCTAGAAGAGAGCTTGGATGGTAAATTGTAGTTAATTTTGGTTAATTTCATTTTTTAGGACAGTAGCAGCTACACATCCCCCACCTTCAACTCCATGGCTAACAATCCTGTATGTATTCTAAGAGCAATTTGTAGAACACAGCACAAGTAAAAGGATGATTTCCTCCAAATACTGGGGATCTCTGCTTCCATCCCTGATAGCTCTTTCTGAACACAGAAGTACAGACAAAAAAGACAGGTAGCCATTTCTGTTGTACCTTTTACTGGTATGAACCCTTTACCCTCTAGCTAAAGAGGGGACTTCCTTCATTTTTCTCTTTTTCTGTTTTGGGAGCCAGACATTAAAAGGTAAGATATTCAAAAGCAAATACATATATGAGGAAAATAAGAAAGTCACTGTGAATTCCCAGGAAAAGGCAGGATTAGAAAACAAGTAAGAAGACCTTAAGTTTATATTTCAGGCTGATCCTTAGAACAGAGACAACATACTACAATAAAAACAAAAACTACAGAAAATCCTGGGAAAGGGGGAGAATGCGATTTCCAGAGTTACTAGATTCAAATGTCCAGTTTTCAATAATAACAACAAAAATCACAAGGCATACAAAAAAAACCCAGGAAAACATGACCCATTCAAAGGAAAAATAAAACCAACAGAAACCATCCATGAAAAGCTATGATAATGAATCTACCAAAAGCTTTAAAACAACTCTCATAAAGATATAAAGATGTCCAAAGAACCAACGGAAGATGAGGAGAAATTCATGAACAAAATGGAAATTGCAATAAAGAGACAGAAAACCTAAAAAGAATCCAAAAAGAAAAGCCTGGCATCGAAAAGTACAAAAATTGCAATCAATAATTCACTAGAGGGATTCAAAGGCAGGTTTGAGCAGACAGAAGAAGAATCTGTAAACTCCAAGATAAGATATTATCCAAGCCCAAGGATCAGAAAGAATAAAAAGTGAATAAAAGTGAGCACAACCTAAGGCACCAGTGGAACACTATTAGTAATCTAACATACACATTGTGGAGTTCAAGAAAGAGAGAAAGGGACAGAGAATATTTGAAGAAATAATGGCTGAAACTTCACAAATTTGAAGAAAGACATGACTATATGCATCTAAGAAACTCAACAAATTCCAAATAGAATGAACTCAGAGTGGCTCACACTAAGGCACAACTATAATCAAGCCACTGAAAGACAAAAACAAAGAGAACCTTGAAAGTAGCAAGAGAGTAGTAACTTGTCATATTCAAGAGATACTTGGAATATTTAACTCTACATTTTTTTTCTACAGGATTTAAGATAATACATTTATAAGAAAAAATTTAAAAGATACCTTTAAAAGAAAAGAGTCTAAAAGACAGTATTATCATGACTTTGGTTTGTAAGTCCAAATTTTGTAATTAAATTGCATTATGTAATTTAAGAAACTAATACATTAAATCTATTTGCTTATGGTTTTGGACACATGATGAACAAAGATGTAATTTAGTGAGATCAATAACTGAAAGTGGAAGTAGCAGAGTTAAAGGAGAACTTTTATACATAATTGAAGTTAAATTGGCATAAATTCAAATTAATGTCATAACTTAAGGATGTTAAATGTAATCCCCATGATAACCACAAGGTAAACAGCTATGGAGCATACAGAAAAGTATCAGCTAAACAAAAAAGAAGACAGTAGGCTTGGGTTGTGGCTCAGTGGTAGAGCACTTGTTTCGCATGTGTAAGGCAGTGGGGTCAATCCTCAGCACCACATAAAGATAAATAAATAAAATAAAGATAATGTGTCCATCTACAACTTAAAATTTTTTAATAAGACAGTAATAGAGAAAATGAGGAACAAAAGCATATAAGGCATATTAAAAATAAATAGCAAAATGATAGAATTAACTCTCTTCTTACCAGTGATTACTTTGAAAGTAAGTAGATTAAATTCAGATTCATAAAGATATGATAGAACAAAAAGAATACAACAGATTTGGGTATCTAGAAATGGGCAATACTGTTGATAAATACCTAAAAATGTAGGACTAAGTTTCAGAATTGAGAATTGGCAGAGGTTAGAAGAATTTTAAGGAGCATGAGAGAAAAAATTAAATTTCCTTGAACAGATTATTAATAGAAATATAGATTTTAAACACTTCACTGGTGAGGGCTCAGAGGAAGTGGAGAAGCATGGTAGAGAAAATATAAAGTGCCTTAGAGAATACTTAAATCATTTTAAACAGACTGTTAATAGACAAGTGGATGTTAAAGGCATTACTAAAGAACACTCAGAAGGAAATGAGGAGCACCTTACTGGAAAACTTGAGGGTGGTGCTTGTTAAATAGTGGTAGAAAACTTAGCAGAACAGTGTCCCCCAGTTATGTGGAAAGCACAACTTGTAAATGATGGAATTGGACATTTAGTTGAGGAGATCTCCATGAAAAGTGCTAAAAGTATAGTTTGTGGCCTTTGGTTGCTCATGTAAAATGCAAGGACAAAGAGAAAAATTGAGGGAAGAACTGTTAAGTTAAAAGGAGCCATAATTTGATGATTTGGAAAACTCTCAGTCTATCCAAATTGCAGAAGACATTGAAACTTAGAGATTCCCCACCAGGAAAGTGTGCTTAGTGAGAAAAAAAAAAAAACCTAAAGGTAGGGCTGGATAACTTTTTAATAATACTGCAATAGATCAAAAGGTCACAGTCTTAACAAAAGGCTCTTTAAAATGATTAGGTACATGACTCAGTTCTCTCCAGCAATCTCAGCTGAAGACAGAAAAGAAATAGGATTATCTAGGAAAGACCTGTCAAGGGTCTCTTATTGAATAGAGTGAATATCCATGATATTCATGGGAGATTCACAAGGTTCTTTTTTTCCACAAGGTTCTTGAGAATGCCACAAGCACAAAAATTTTTAGCTTGGACTGAAAAGGATAGAGAGAGTGTAAAATGAATGTAGTCTGTTGTACCTTAAAACTTCAAATTTCTACCACCAGGAAACTAGCTGATCAAACTATTCAGCTGCAAACACATGCTACCCTTCATCAACAAGGAAAGACGATTTCAAGAGTGGAACCATAAAACCAGAGGCACCAAACTCAAAGACTAGAGGGTAGAGATGCAAGCCCTAGAAAACTATTCCCAGTCTTTTAAATTTAATAAAATTTGTTTAGCTGGATTTAAGATATTACCTGGTATTTGTGACTCTTTTTTTTCCTTCCATTTTCTCTCCCACATGGCCCAGATTTAAAACTAGTGTCCTGTGACTGCCCTACTATGGTATTTTAGGTGTAAAATGCAAGGTGAGGAGAGGGAGAGGGAGAGGAAAAAGGAGAGGGAGAGGAGAAAGGAATAAAGGAAGAAGGGAAGAAGAGAGGAAGAGACAAAGACATGTGATGATGGAGAGGAATTTTGTCCCAAGATGCATCATACTCAAGAGTTATCATCCATATGTGATTTAAACCATGAGATTTGAGACTCTTGAGCTGATTTTTTTGTGGGAGGTACTAGGACTTGAACCCAGGGGTGCTTAACCACTGATCCATATCCCAGCCTTTTCTATTTTTTATTTTGGGACAGGGTCTCACTAAGTTGCTTGGGTCTTGCCAAGTTGCTGAGGCTGGCTTTGAACATGTGACCTTCCTGCCTCATCCTTCCAAGCCTCTGGGATAACAGACATGTACCATGTGCCTGGCTGAACTGATGATATTTAACTGAGATTTTACTTTTGGGAATACCAGGAAGGAGTTGTAGCATGAGTGAAATATGTTGGGATGAACACATTTTGCATGTGAGAAATAAGTGAATTTCAGAAGATCAAGGGACAGACTCCTGTAAATAAAATAATGGTTCTCCAAAGATGCCTATGTCCTAATTCCCACAACCTATGAATACACTAGATTACATAGCAAGAGAGAATTAAAATTGCAGATGAAATTAAGGTCATTCATCAACTGACCTCAAGACAGGATTATTAGTCTTTAAAAACAGAAGAATGAGGGAGATGAGTCAGAATCAGAGGAGTAGATGTGATGACAGAAACAAGGCCACTGGAATGATGCAAAGTGAGGAGGACTCAACCCATCACTGCTGACTCTGAAGTTGGAGGAAGACGGCCTTGGGCCAAGGAATGCTGGCAGTCTCTAGAAGTTGGAAAAGGCAAGGAAATGGATTTTCCCCTAGAGCCTCAAGAAAGGAATGCAGTCTGATTTTAAATCCTTGATTTTAATCTAACAAGATCTTGGTCAAATTTTTAACTTATAGAATTCTAAGATAGTTAAATTAGTATTGGAAGCCACCAAGTTTCTGGTAGCTTCTTACAACAATTAAAGACACTTTCTATTGTTTATAGACAGACATCAAGTACTGCTATTTCCCTTAAAATTTAAAATATTTCATGGCTCTCCTATGAGTTCATTATGTGTAATCTGGTACACATAGTTCAGGAATGGTGGTTCTAGTACAGGGGCCAGCAAACTGTAGCCCAGAAGGCAAATCCCACTCACTGCCTATTTTTGTGAACAAACTTGTACTGAACACAGCCAGGCTTGTTTCTTTGCTTAATGTCTATATATGCTTTCATACTATGGTAGAATTAAGTAGTTGTAAAAGAAGACAATATAGCCATCAAAGCCCCAAATAATTACTTTCTGGACGTTCTCAGAATATATTTGCCAATCCCTGTCTAGGACCTGACCCTACTCTATCCATCTAACTTGATTTCCCTTCACTCCACTTACAATCTTATATCCACACTCTCTACACTTACCATTCTGAATTCCTGTCACTACTTTAGTTCATAATACAACTTCCTCTTGGAATTCTATTCCTTTTCCCCCTAAATCTTGTATCCTTTAAGGCATATCTCAAACTTTCCCTATTTACTTATCAGGCATTTTTCCTATACCGTACTAATTAGATTTTGATTAATCAAATAGCCATGTTACCGCTGTCCAATTTATTTCATACATGTGACAATCTATTATTACAAATAGACTGTAAGGTTCTTTAAAAAAGCAACTATGTCTTGAATTTCTCTGGAAAATTCCACAAAACCTACCCACTATGTTTATGTACCAGTGGAGTGCTCAGTGCATTGATTGCATCTTTTAAAGTGAAGTTCACTCTAAAAATGTTTTAAGTTTGATCCCTGATAATTGCAGATGAAATCTGATATCCACAACTGTTAAGTGATATTACAGGTGATTTATTTGTAGACATTCCAGCAATGTGATTGCCGGTATCTCTTTTATCATTTACAGATTTGATATCTCTAATACACATAGGACAAGTTTATGCTAGCATATAACCTTCTCTAATCCCTTTCTCAAATTCCTGAATTTTTACCTAAATGCTACTCTACAGTGCATGCTCAGCCATGTGCAACACCATGGATTCAACTCTCAGGCTCAAAAAGGATGGGGCAATAATGCCAGAATTGGATAAAATTATGTAAATTTACTATCATCAGAAGCCTGTATGCAGGATAATGTACTAGTTTTCTGCTTTTAATATAGAGTACATATTAAGCTACTTAAGCCAGAAATCCTATATGTTTAACTGAATTAATCTGCTGTTTACAGAATATCTCTATTTAGATCTTCTGTAATCATCTCAAACTCATCCTACCAAAATTAGACATCAAAAATGAAAAGTCTAATGTGTCTAAAATCCAAAACAGATTTTGGAGGGAAGATGGCAAAGGTAACATAGAAAGGTATTAAGTAATTTTTAATATCTAATATTTGCATTCCACATATTTTAATTAGTTAGATAATCATTGGAAGTCATTTATTCCTTTGGCTCAAGAGAACCCAAATGCTTAGCTCTGAGACTTTTGTTAAACCAATGTCATTTATAGATTTTCACTCTTAAGAGTCAAGTGCTGGTCAAAGATCTCCATTATGGGTCAGACTTATATTTAAATTATCAATTTATTTTGATTGAGGGAACATAGTTGCCATAACCACTGAGTAGCCTGAGTGACCCAAATCCAACTATGCTGAAATTAACTTGGGACTGCCATTCAAACAGCTTTCTCTTTGTGAAACACTAAACCTGAAGTTTTTATGGTTCCAGGTAAATTAAGGTAAATTTTTAATTAACTATAATGTTTTGAACACAATAAGAGATATGGGGAATTATTTTTCTTTCACTCTAAGAAAAATTGCTATAAGAACTTCAGGAGAAATGATACCAAATGTCCTCTTGCTTTGTCTTTCTTCATACTTGCAGAACACTCATTTCCTTTCTGTGCCCTTACATATACTTCCCTCTGCTTAGAATGTCTACCTATGTCTATCTAGAAAACTTCAAGTTTTCCTTCAAGTTTAATCTAAAATATAATCTGCTTTACAAAGCCATCCTTGATTCCTTCAGGCATATTTAAAGGTTCTTCTCATTTTTATATGTACCCCCATTAAAACAATTATTTTATATGTATTTAAGTTTCCTATTTGCATATGTCTTATCACAATTGTTCATAGGCATCAAGGACTCTAATTTTTCATTCTTATGCCCTTTGTACATGACATAGAAGGCATTTGAAAGAAGGAATAGAAGACTTCTCTTTTCCCAAAAGTTAAAAAAAATCTTCTCATCTGGCTTTACCAACTTCTTTCTTCATCTCCTAAAAGTGTACCTACTGCTTCAGACTCAATGTCAAGTTCCTTTCTGTTTCTTATGTGTTTGTCTTTACTAGCAAGTCTAGATGTTTCTATAAAAGCACACATCTTTCTTGTCATTCAACTTTTTCTTCTAAGACTATTTACTGGCTTCAAGAAAATATTTTGGAACAAATTTCAAATTCCACCCCTTCCAAAGTATTCAACAACTTTATATGGACTCATATTTTTCAAAGATCAATAACAAGGCTTTTCATTTCATAGAAATATTTTACTAAATAACTCCTATGTTCTTTTCATAGTTTTTTAAAGGTAAGAATATCTCTGAACTCTATATATCAAGTATACCAGTAAGCTTTGTTTTAAAATAAAATCATTTTATCTTTAATCACAGAAAACAGATTTGAAGTAATTTTAAGTTAACTCATCTGGCTGGGTTTTACAGACTGCAGAGAATAGAATTGTATCTGAACAAATTATCAGAAGCACCTCAGGTTGGGGCGACTCACCGGTATTCCTTGGTGTACTCAAAGTCTTGTTTGTTATAGGCAGGTTTTAGGAAATTGCACTCAATGACTCCAATTACTCCCACACCTTCTCCATGAGTTGGCTTAAAAGAAAAATATTAATTTCAATACTTACATTACTGTTGACTTCCTAGGAGCATTTCCTTTTGATTCTAGAAAGATTATATAATGTTCATGGGCAAGGAAAGACCATTAACTTATAGAGAAACACTTAGAATGTACTTCAATATACTGCAAGTATATTGAAACTTGCAATATATAGGGAACTGTAATCTGAAAAATTTTAGAACAGAGATTTTCAATGATTCATAGATCCATAGGATTTTTCAAGGAATAATAACTCTTCTTCACTTACAAACCTACAATTTTATCAGTTTCACATTCCAGCATTGCCATAAGATTTCATTTGAATAAAAAAGTACACTGCTGGGGCTGGGGTTGTGGCTCAGTGGTGGAGCACCTGCCTAGCATGTGTGGGGCACTGAGTTTGATTCTCAGCACTGCATATAAATAAATTATAAAATAAAGGCTCATCAACATCTAAAAAATATTTTTTATAAAGTACACTGCTAAAAAAGCAAGATTATATACTACTATTTGAGGGAACTGAAAGGAAACTTCATCACTACCCCCAAATTTTAGGGATGTTATGTGATAGTTACACCTTATCTATTCAAGTAAGTATTTTCCCCACATATATAGACTACCAAATAACTACCAAAGAAAGTCAGACTGGCTGTGTTTATTAATTATAAGTTGATGTAAAATGTTTTGTGAATTAAAATAGTTCTTTGTTATTTTAGTGGAAGAAACTAAGTCAAAGTGTAATTAGACCAGCAAATAAACATAAGTTGTCTAAAAATGACATAACAAGAACAAATATGATTGGCTGAAAATAGCTATCCTGGGCCCTATGTAATTGTGTACTGCATAATATAAAGCAGTCTATAATTCACTGTGCTTTAACCATCTAATTTATAAATTAAGAGGATACTCATGGGGATTACTACTTTACATTATGGCAAACCAACATAAGAATGCTCACTGATAACACAGAATTCCAGTATGGGAATAGAACCATTAATCAATCTATGTCCTTTGCAAATTTTAAATTCTCTCCCTACTCTTTTCAGTCTTCTATGCCAAAGAAACATTAACCACTCAACTTTACCTGGCATCCCACCTTCTCAAAGAACTTTATGAGCCGGTTGTTATGATACATCATTACTCCAAACTGGTTAGTTTTCTTGCAGGAGAATCCAAAAGTGATTCTCACCTGCTTATTCTGAGAAGAAAATTATTAAGGAGACAAACACCAGGGGATTTGGCAAACAAAATTTTGCACCATATTATAGATTACACCATTGGATGTAGATTGATACCTTTTATAGGGCATTTAAAAATCTATAGCAATAATTTAACTATATTTTTAAGATATGACCAAGGAATTGTCTTCTTAGAAGTTTATCCAAAAGAATTCGTTGAGGAAGCCCACAAAAGTTGATGAGTTAAGAGATTTTTTTTTCAATTAATCACAACAGCAGAAAAACAGATAATTTAAATATCCAACAATAAAGTAATATTAGATAAATATGGTCTATTATACAGCTCTTAAAATTGTGTTCCTGAATAATATTTTGGAATATTAGGAAATATTCAGAATAATAACAAGCATTGTTATATAACACATATATGTATAATAGTAATATGTGATGTAATAATACATCACATATAACAAAATATAATATTTATACATGCATAGAAAAGACTAAGAAAAATACCAAAATTCTACCAGTGATTAAATAATTCATGAATAATAAAAAAGAATTCTTAACCCTTCCTAGTTGCTCATTTTGCTGCTAAGGTTCACAGGTTCTGATAAGAGTTATAAATGGTACAATACAAATACATTCAATTACAGACAATATTTGTAAGTCCAGTTAACCCATATAAAATACAATGGAAGCAAAACCAATAAGAACAAAACAACTTTGAAAGGTAAAAGACAATGAATAGTCTTGTAGTAATATTTCATAGGAAGAGGTTAGCAAATTTGGGTAGATCAAATTATGAGAATCGTTATATGTAAAACATATGTAATGATGAATTTTTTGAACTCAGGGGCACTCAACCACTGAGCCACATACCCAGTCCTATTTTGTATTTTATTTAGAGACAGGGTCTCATTAGTTGTTTAGCGCCTCCCTATTGCTGAGGCTGGCTTTGAACTTATGATTCTCCTATCTCAGCCTCCAAAGGCACTGGGAAGTAAATTTTTAAAAATTTCTACTTGATTTAAAAACCAAGTTAAGCTAGTTACAGTTGTGCATGCCTGTAATCACAGCTCCTCTGGATACTGAGGTGGGAAGACTGAGGCTAACCTCAGTAACTTAGCAAGACCTTGTCTCAAAATAAAAACTAAAAAGGGCTGATGTAACTCAGTAGTAAAGTACTTCTTAGTTCGATCCCCAGGACCACAAAATAAATAACATACATATATACATAAAATAAAATAAATAAAACAAAAAGCAGTCCAATGTAAGAGAATGACAATGATAAAGAGGAGATAGAGAAACTGATATTTTCATTAAAAAAATAGTGAGAATTCTTAATATTCAAATGGATTGAATGAAAATTTATTTTTTAAAATGATCTTTTGCCCTCTCCAAATGACAAACTACATGCATAAAAACCATATAAAAATGTCTCTGTCAGGTATGATACAAACACAAGTGGGTATTCAACAGTAATATTTAACTCGGAACACAATTTTCTGAGCTCAAGTGGAACCTCAAGTAAGGCCTTATTACAATGCAAAAATGAAACAAGATAAAACTCCCCCAAACAAACCCAAACTCCCACATTATAAAACTAACATCTTAAAGATTACCAAATATTTTCCTTCTCTTGTACACTTAAAATTTTTATTGGTGTATTATGATTATACATAATAGTGAGGCTCACTAAGGGCTGGAGTTGTAGCTCAGTAGTAGAGTGCTTGCTTAGCATGTGTGAGACACTGGGTTCAATCCTCAGCACCACATATAAATAAGTAAATTAAATAAAGGCCCATAATAGTGGGATTCATTATGCCATATTTGTACATGCACATAACATACTTTGATCAATCTCATTCCTCAGTACCTTCCCTTTCCCTCTTTTCCTCCCTTCCCCTCCTCTGTTTGCTCTACTCTATTGACCTTTTATTATTATTTTAATTAGTGCATTATAATTATATATGTAAGTGGGATTCATTGTGTAGTATATTGGTACATGGGCATAGCACAATTTGGTAAATTTTGCTCCCCAGTATTTCCCTATGCTCTCCCTCCCTCTTGATCCCCTTTCTCTATTATATATTTTTAAAATTCTAAATTATGAAATGGGGTTACAATGGGGTAGAAAGCTCCCCAAATTAGTATGCCAAGAAAGAAAAAAGAAAAGAGGCCTTTGAAAACTGAGGAGGAAACCAAATAAGCCAGCATTAATGATCTTGTTCCTTAGTAACCTTGGGGAAATTCTATTAGCAGTATCATTTTACTGATGCCTATAGTGAATCCATTTAATCCAAATTCTAATATAAGAAGGTAACTGGTTTAATGGGAAGGGAGGGTGAGAAGAATTTGGGTATATATAAAATGCATGCATAGAAGTTGGCCTGATTATAGAAACCCATGAAAAAAAAGAACCTAGAGGGGCTGGGGTTGTGGCTGGGGCTGGGGTTGTGCCTCAGTGGTAGAGCACTTGTCTAGCACGTGAGAGGTGCTGGGTTCGATCCTCAGCACCACATAACAATAAATAAAATAAAGGCACTGTGTCCAACTACAACTAAAAAAATATTTTAAAAAAAGAACCTACAGACAGAAATGTGGTATATTCTAATATAGTAATTGGGAAAGCACTTCTTTATATCAGCTCTGTTGAACCTACAGCACTAAGATCCTAGCTCATATAAGGTGCTATTATAACTAATATGCTCAGAGTTCTGGCTTTGTTCAGGTTCTTTAGGGATTTAAAAAAAGTTTCCTAGTGGAGAAGGTATGTGTTCCCCAAAAGGATAAAATCAATGTGCATATGAATAAAAACTACATGGACTTTTATAAAAAGGAAAAACAATTTCTAATTTTTGATCAGGTGAAGAAAGAGAAAGAGTATATCTTTGATAAAGCAAATATGGATCAAGAGTTACGCATGGTTACTAGAAAATAAATTAAAAGATCAATTCTTCCTGTTTATGAGTTCTCAGCCTTTCAAAGACTTCCCTGTTTTTGCTAAAAAAAGCCATCAATGAAGATTGACCTCATTTCCATAGTTTATTTTAACATTTTTCTCTAGAATCTAAAATCTATTCCAAAGGAATATAGAAGTGAAAATGAGTAACTGCTCCTCTGTTAAAAGCTAAGTATCTTAAAATAGACAAGTATTTCTTATTAAAAAAAGATTTCAGAATCTACTGAACCAGAATCTAAAATCTCAAGATTCTTATTTAAGAGTTTCCCTATGAGTTCTGATAAAACTGGAGTATAGTCTGACATATAAGAAATACTTCCTAAGAGTATAGTGTAACAGGATTTGTGTGTATGACACAATTTTGATCTGGGAAAGACAAGTTTTTGTTTTTCTGTGCCAACCTAGAAAACTTAATCCCAAAATGCAGAGGTTAACTACGTGTAGCTGAAAGGATACTGTAAAGGTAGGTTTATATATATCATATCCTACATTGGCCAGACTTTTGGCAATCATCTGGGTGGTCACCTTCTTTTGACGCAGAAAAATTTTCATCCGTGGCTTCATATATAGAATACTACAATATGCCTATGGAACAGTAAAGGGAAAGTTTATATGCAATACTGACAATTCTACTGAAATACCCATTAACCACTTTTAGCCAAGTGAGTCTATTTTAGGCAAATATCTACCTTACTTTCTATACCTTGTAGCACATCAACCACAACATTAAAATGCTGCTATTTTAGCTAAATTGTTTTAGTGGACATGGTGAAAAGAATTCTAGTACAGAGCTAAAAGGTTGTCATCTTTACATAAGTAAACTTTGGTCTTATTCTATAATATTTTCATATTATAGGAAATCTTACCTCTTAATGTTGAAGAAAACCACTCTTACTCACCCGTAAAGAATACTCTGTTTCTGGCAACTCAGAACCACTAATCTCTTTTTCTTCTGCATCAAAATCTGACACCAGGATATCATATTGATCTGTATCAAAGTCCAACTCAGACTTCCCATCTTTGTTTCTGGGTAAAAGAGACAAGTACCAATCTAACAAAAACTGGCTCCAAAGGACAAAATTGTACTAGGAACCAAAAGAAACAATGTGAACAACACTCAGGTACCTGGTTCTTACACTGACCACCAATCCAAGGGAACTGCAAACTACTAACTTGAAATCACACAATATTTAAGGGTATTTCTAGTCTATAGAAATCTATGTTTCACACTGGTGGTGATACCAAGTTCATAAGTAAAGAAAAGGAATATTGAATGTCTGTGATCTGATAAATCAAATGAGTATCAGCTATCCTCAAAGAGGAATCCTAAAATAGATCCCACTTTTCTGGTGTTGCTGGATAAGTCACCCAATATCACTTTACCCTACTGAATAGATGAATCAAAATCTATTTCCACTAACTTCTGTAATCATATAAGTATTAATGAGATACTAAGATTTCCCCCATATCCAACTCTATATCTTAGAAGGAAAAGATTATTATACAAACAACATATATTTACTAGTCCTCTAGAATACTATTTATGGAATTATCACTTAAATATAATAGTATTGATGTTCTTTTCATAAGAAACTTTCTTATTGCCATAATGTTTTCAGGTCACTTAACTTTGCTCCATTCTAAGACCCTTAGTTATATCATAGGGAAAAAAGGTTAAGAGCCATTTGTCCCCAGAAAAAAAAAAACTGAAAACAATGATGGGTTATATGGAAAATGTATATAGTTCATTCAGAATGATAGTTCCCAAAATTTGTTTTGTGGAACAACAGTCCCTGGAAATATTATTTAATAAGAATTAACAAATAAAAGTAAAATTGAGGAATAATTCTCAGCAACATCAGATTCACATCAAGGTCTAGTGCTACTTGCTTTATAATTCAGGTTCCATAAGCTCAGAGCTACTATATGGAAAATTTAGCCCTATTCTTAGAACCAAATCAGGGCCACTGTGACATGCCACCTGTATAAAGTCCATGCCTCTGTAATAGTATAATTCTGAATTTTTTAAGATAATTTTGATCCTCACTATCCCACCCAACTCTAACAAATACATCCTGAGAGTTGCCTGTCCTCCCTGCCTCTATCATCCCTACCCAAGAAAAAGAGGCTTGAAGAAACATTTTTTAAAACTGAGCAACATATTATATTGCTCCCTTAAGTATTTTCTTTTCTTTTTGCCTTTTGGTACCAGGGATTGAACCCAGGAGTGCTCAACCACTGAACCACATCCCCAAACCTTTTATGTTTTATTTTGAGACAGGGTCCTGCTGAAGCTGACTTTTAACTTGCATCCTCCTGCCTCAGCTTCCTAAGCCACTGGTATTACACACCTGCATCACCACACCACAGTGTAAGTATTTTCAATGCACATTAGCATATGAATGCCTCTGAGAAGTCCTGGGCCAAAATAACAAAGTAAGCTTCATTAATCCAGTTTTCCCCAAATTTATTTGACCATGCAATTCTTTACTTATATAACACTTTACATAAGTGTTTATATGTTTCTTTACTTATATAACATATAACTTGTGCAAAGAAATAAGTCTGCTTAATATGTGTAAGTCATTGGATATTCCTCAGGAAAATGATCCTGAATAATACATATGATATTATTGAAGTTTTTCCCAGTAGGACAAATGGAAGGCCTGTGTGAGTCCTTATTTTTTCTTTTTAATTATTAAGTACTCTCTGTATATAAACCAGTATTGTTTTTAAATAAGTTTTACCCAGTTAAGAAATGAAACAAAACAGGTGATGTAAGTTGAAAAGAAAGAATGAATATAACTGATACTCTGTTCTATTAAACACACCAGTAATGCATCTGTTTTATATTAATATTTCTAGGTTTTTAATTTTTAGGTTTTAATATTTATTGCATTTTACATGCCATGATTAAATAATGTATCATAGAGTATTTCTTTATTGTTTTATTAGTTCTAAAGACATGATCTTAAGCCACACATTATAGTTAAAATTGATCTGCTTCAAATAATTTTGTAATGCTGTGCTATTCTAAAAGCACTAATATAGAGGTTCTTATTTTAAAAGATCATGTTGTGTTTTGTAACTCTAATTTCTCTTTCTTATGCTTCATTTTAATTGTCAAATATATAAAATAACTTTCTTTATCAATTTCAATAAAAGGTCCATGAATATGAAATTGATATTTATAAAGGATTCTGAGGATGTTAGAATACTATTTGTGGCAACTGTCTCAGGATATGCATGGCTTTACTTTAAATACATAGCATATTAACAACAAGAACCACTACCTCAAGTGAAAGATATAGAAAGGTATGCAATTGTGTATATATATATATATATATATATACACACATACACACACACACACATATATATATATATGTATAAATTTATCAACTCTGCTTCTGTATAAAGACTTATTAAAATGTGCTTCATAATACCTTTGCTTATTAGAATCTGTCACCTTCAAGATACTATACCTGCGGATGTTCCAAATGAGAACACGAGTGCCTTTTTTGCCTGGGATGGCATCAAACTGGGACAGCAGGTCATTTTCACTGTTGAAAATTGAATAATTCAAGATGGCTTCCAGGCTGGGCAAGGAATCCTCAGTAATAATCATTTTTTGTAAAACCAAATATAGTCAAAGAAAAATTAATATCTTAAGAATATGCTATCAAGGGGCTGGGGTTGTAGCTTAGTGGTATAGTACTTGCCTTGCACATGTGAGGCACTGGGTTTGATTCTCAGCACTACATAAAAAAATAAATAAAATAAAGGTACTGTGTCCATCTATAACTAAAAATATTTTTAAAAAGAATATGCTATCAAGAAGGAAGAGCACCTTTTGGGTTGCATGTTTAGATAAAAAATAAAGACTTATGCTTTATAGCATGAGAATTACTGCTACAGAAGGAAGGAAAGAGAAAAGGTTGTGGAGATAAACACCAAATTCAGTTTCATCTGCAGGATATAGCCTCAAAGATGCAGTGCAAACAAAGACAGTATTATATTTATGGAGATGATCAAAGGCTAATTTTTAAACTATTTGGAAGCAGTAAGTTCAAATCTTACTGCTATATTGCTCCTATGAAAACAACCTGGTATCTAACAGAAATAATAGCTTGTCCAGGTATTGGGAAATGCTATCAGATAAGCTGGAAAACAATTTGTTTCTAAAAGTATAAACACAAATGTAGCTAGCCTTAGGGTAAAAAAGCCCTGGGAACTATAGTGGTGGTGGTAGTTGGGAAAAGTTGATACAAATCAAACTGCATAATATAAAAATTTCAACATAGCAAAAATATCTTTATGCTTCTGTCAATGGTTCATTTATTTTAAAAATATTTAATAGAAATGGTAGTAAATTTAAGACATTTCAATACTTTAAAAACATGAACACTTTTTTGAAATATGAAAAAAATATGGATTTGACCTGAAGGAAAAAGTTTCTGTTAAAATAGTCAAATTAAACTAATTTTTAACCAACATTCTCCATTTGCAGAAAGGATATTGTTTTGCTGGCTGAATGGAACAATTGGTACAATAACTGCCTGGGCCTGGACACACTCCAGATAGGTCTGTGATAGGAGTCCAACAGTAAGAGTACCCCCATTCTTGGTGAAGACAAGAGCGTCCTTTCCTAGCCGCATGGAGCCTGACTTGAAACCATTACCAAAGACCCCGATGGGACACTGGCTCTTCTTTATTACTTTATCTGTAAAGCCAAAGCTGTAATTACACAAGAAAAAAAGGAATTAGAAAGGTAAAAAGCATCCTAAGATAGGTGAGAGGCAGAATGTTTGGCTGACACATGAATAACACATATAAAAAGTTCCTCCTTTTTTTTTTTTTTTTTACTTTTTTTGGTATTTCCAGGTAAAGCTATTAAGTTAAAAACATAGGACACTACTATGGGGTGATGACACTGATATTCCTGTGTGGATGGTGTGTACTTAAATAGTACTACTGTGTAAGAGTCACACTTTGGAAATGCAAAGAAGGCCCCCTTTCACTGGTTAACAGAGAGAGCTGGAGAAGGCCTTGTGCTACTGCCTTTCTTATCTAGATAAAACAGTCCTGACTTCTAAAAGTTAGGATAATGTACAAAGGATAGTTGCCTAGAAAGGGCAACAAAAAGTCCCAAATAGTGGCACTGATCAAAGGCACTAGACAAGGCATCTCCTAACTTTGTTATGTCATCCTTTAGAAATCTGAAAGTCAGAGATCATATATCTTGACAATTTCGACTCTCCACCCAAAGGATGACCATTCCAATTCTTACTCTCTTCTCCATCTGCTGGGACAGTCCATTGGAATATGGCCAAGAGATAAAAATAGGTAGTTCTGCCTCTGAATATCTGCAAACAGCTGCAGTATAAAGTCTGTCTTGTTCTATTAAGGGCTTTTCAATGAGTCACCTCAGCAAACTCTGTAGCCCTTCATGATCAGTTTGATCTGGGAACCAGAACCTTTCCCTTCAAGATATAAACCAAAATGATATAAATTCTAGAAAATGATGATCATCTTCTTATATTTTCCCACACTACAAATAAAACTAATTTTAAGGATTATTTCTCTCCAGATTGACTAATTTTACTATGGTGTACACTAGCATTCATTCAACACATAATAATGGAGCACCTACTATGTGCTGTACATTATGCTAAGCACTGGAGATACAGTTGTTAATAAAACAGGTATGATTCTTGCTCTCATAGCTTGTAGTCTAAGAAAGGATTTCATATATTACAGATTAGATGCTACTTAGCAGCTTGGTCTTGGCTTTACTCTTTTGAGCACGGAGGGGTAAGGTGCCTGTTTTCCATTTCCTGAAGGTTGTGGTTTTGTGTTTATTCCCCAAGAAAGTAGACTATATTTCAATTTTCTATCTCAAAGTGTAATGCTAAAGTACCATATGTCCTTCTAGAATACAGACATTTTAAAGCTTTCTATGAATAAATCTAGTGACATAGAAATGTAATCTCCAGGGAACTGGTCCTTTGGGGAAAAAAAGAGAGCTGAGTTAATGCTGTTTGTGGGTATTCCAGGAAAACAGATGTATAAGTTGGTAAAATTCAGACATTCTTATTCCTCTTATGGAAGAATTGGTTAGGAAACATGAGGTCATTATAAGAATTAAATTATATACTAATTATAAATTATAATTTATAACTAGTATATAATTTATATAATTTTATAAATTATATACTAATTATAAAGTAGTACTCAAAAGTCAATTTTTTAAAAATTTTAAGCCAACTCTAGAAGTCATTCTAAGAATTGTTATATGCTATTCTATACCCTTACTTCTGGTCTAATATCACCTCTAAACTCAGACTTTTCATAAACAGAAATCTTATCTACCATGTGAAATGAATTTGTATGGTTATTTGGATTTAAAATTACTCTAATACCACAAAGTTTAAATTAGGTGGCCAAAGAAAGGGATAAAAATAGGGGGACTATATTACTACATTAATTTTCTACTATCTTCTGCCACCTATCACCTCTTTTTCCCTTTGTATGTATAAATCCTCATGTTACTTATTTTGGGGAGGCCAGATGACTATATAAGCTTGAAAAGATAAGTAGTAGGGTGGGGCCAGAACCAGAATGGGAAAGGATAAAAGTGAGATGAAAGGAGCTACAAGTTCTAGATTTTATTTTTGCTGTTATGTTTCACTTAATGCTTCCCATGTGTTATTATTTCACCTAATTTTCCATGTTAGTTATTCTATTTGACTGCAAATTTGCAAAATGAATGCCTGATACCAATCAAATACTGATATAAATACTGATAATATTATAGGAATAAATTTTACATAGTTTGGTATAGCTCAGTAATTTTCTACAGAGCAATCTTGGCTTAGGCAGGTGGTTTCTATTCTCTAAGTCAGTCCTATCCTCTCATGTAAGAGACAGCACTATTTACACACCAACGGGGCTTAGATACTAGTTCATTGAATGGAATCCAATAATAAGCAACGTCCTCTTGAGTACCTTAATATGTTGAAAATCTAGACTCTAGAGAGATAAATTTAAATTTGGAATGCTGATCACTGAAACAAACCTTAATAAAATCCATGAACATACAAAGGGATGCACTATGATTTTCTAGATATATTGGTGATATAATATGTAATATAAATGAATGAAAGAATGATAAGTTTTCTGTTATTGTCTAGCTGGTGCTTTAGAATAGACCTATATGTACTTCTGTGCAGAGGTAGCAAATACCTTGAATCTGTGGCTCTATGGCTGTTTTTAATTCTTGACCTTTGAAAGAGGTTTTCCACTTTGCTAAAAAAGGCAGCTGAATATATAAACTACTTGATTCACACACTATCCCTAGAAGCTAAAGAGAATAAAAAGTTAACCTTTAAGGAATTAAAGATAGGATTTTCCTTTTTAATTTGATTTTCATGTTGATTCTGTGTTTATGGAAGAAACTATTGCTGTAGTTACCCACCTATTTTATCAGCCTGAAAATAGGAAGAGTTAGCATAAAGAGCTGGAAAATGTGGATAGGATAACCAATATTATAAGTCAACAGAATTTCTGTAGGCTTAATAATTTTTCAGAATTATTCATTATTTTTCCAATACAAAAGCTACCTCTAAAATTCTATTATTTAAAAAAATTGTGGAAAGTGGACTTGTTTGTTATAATTTAGGATCTGATTAAAAATAATCTCTTTTAAATAAATGATATCTTCTGGCTGATTCAAGTTTGTTTAAGACACAATAGCAAAATGAGTACACATAATACATTGAAAATTCATTAAAATAGTTCTCCAAAATTAATTTTTAAATAAGTGGAACAATTTCCAGAGCAAACTATTGGGGAGTATATTTGGTATGCTATGGAAAATGTTATGGCTAAAGAAGTTTCTACCAACTTTGATCCCTGGGAAGGAAACAGATTTTTTAATGGATGACACTGATCCTCCATATTTCACTTCAAATGTCATTTCTTCAGGGTAGCCTTTTTTGATTCCCTAGGCTAGATTAGATCCTTGTGCTATATAATCTCAAAGAAATTGTACTCTTCTTTTATATAATTTACCACTGGTAGAATAGCCTATTTAGTCAAAAGTTGACTATTGTTAGTCAACTTTTACTTCTCACTAATTTAAGAGCAAGGATCATATCTGTCTAGTTCACCACTTTATTTCCAATACCATATGCACAGGTACTTAGTAAGAATTTGTTATTCAGCAATAAAAAAGAAAGATCATGGCATTTGCAGGGAAATGGATGGCATTAGAGAAGATTATGCTAAGTGAAGTTAGCCAATCCCAAAAAAACAAATGCCAAATGTCTTTTCTGATATGGGGGGGTGTGACTCAAAATGGGGTTGGGAGGGAGAGCAAGGGAGGAAGATTACCTCTAGATAGGGAATAGGGGTGGGAGGGAAAGGGAGGGAGAAGGGGAATAGCATGGATGGTGAAAGGACACCTTCATCATTATACAAAATACATGTATGAAGATGTGAATTTGGTGTCAACATACCTTATATATAATCAGAGATATGATAAATTATGGTATAATGGTGTATTAAGAATTGTAATGCAAAAATAAATAAATAAATTTAAAAAAATAAAACAACAAATATGGAGCAAAAATTGCTACAATTATTCTGAAATAATCCTCTTTTTCCCTCCTGTCTTATAATTATACCAACTTTCATATGTATTTCCATTGACAAATGGAAAGTGATCAGATTTGCTGGGCCTAATGTTTGACACCCATGTCACTGGATAAAGTGTGGTAGGAAGGAGTAATTAAGAAGATAAGTGGACTGGGGCTGGGGCTCAGTGGTAGTGCACTTTCCTGACATGAGTGAGATTCTGGATTCAAGTCTCAGCACCGCATATAAATAACTAATATAAAGGTCTATCAAAAACTAAAAAGAAATTTTAAAAAAAGAAGATAAGTGAATTTAGGGGGAAAACTAGTATGTACAGAATTCAACATATTTTGGTTCTCTCCCATCTAAAATTAAGTTTAGGAAATCAGACTGGTAGAATAAGTTAAAGGATACAGCCAACTCTCTACTTTCACAAATATACTAGTCATATTTTTGTATCATGTCTAGAGATTTTCCTCAAATATTCTTCTATTTAGAAGGGTCTAATACACAAGGTATATAGACTACTGGACAGTAAATTATAACCACTTACTTACTTACTTTGACTAAATTTCATTTTTATTTATTTAATGGATCAAAGGGATTTCCTTACCAACAAGGTTATTGATTTAGAAAACATTCAAAGACAACTACAACCAAATGAATTTGTTTTTCATTTTTAGGGTCCTGAGCCCTTTCCCTCCTCCTCAGCACCCCTCCATTGTTGCTCATGCTTCACATACTCTAGTTCAGGGAGACACATAGAAGAATAATCAATCTCATCTGCTAAGAAAGAAGAGAGGAGAAAGAAGTTAAGGAAACATTCATCTTGAACTAAGTGATGTGTGAAGGTAATGAAGAACAAACATTTTCTTAACCATCAACCAGTGAACAGAGTTGCAACAGAAATTTATCACCAGTTTTAATGTTTAAAAAAGAGAATTTTATAACTTTGCAATTCTACTGCAAAATCTCCAGATTATATGTGTGGTTGCCTTCTATTTATTTTAATGGGGCTTGTTTATGTCCAGATACCTTCAGGGTTCTAATCCACAAATTATTCCAACTCTAATACTTCTGATTTAAAAGTGATTTTAGGTTAATTAGGAATTGGAGAAGGTCTTAGATCAGGGAAAGCCTCCAGGTCCTTATACTTGCTGTTCTCTTTGCTTGAACTCGCATTCCTTACTTTCTGCACCTTTTCACCTAGTTAAATTCTACCCACCCTTAGATCTCGGCTTAAATATAACTTCATCTAGGAGGCTTTTCCTAACCTCTGGTATCAGATTGGGTTACCCTGTTGACTCATCCCATGTATCCTGTGTTTTCCTACCATTACGCTTATTGCATTTTCTTGTGATTATTTGCTTAACTGAGTTGCCAGCTAGACTGTATGCTCTGTGACAGCAGGAACAGTGTCTATTTCATAACCAGTGCCCTGGCACTAACAGATGCTTAATAAATATTTGTTGAATGAATAAAGTAAAATTAAAATATTAAAGAAAATTATAAAAACTTAAATAGAGCTTGTGAACTCAAGAGAATAAAAGCATTTTTACCTGAGCATTCGGTGGAGTTTGTGAGGTGTCATTCCACATCCATCATCAGTAAAGGTCAAACAAGATTTATTCTTGACCTCCTCAACATCTATAAAGACCGTCCTGGCGGATACATCTGGATCTACAGCATTATCTGCAAAAGGTAGAAATCTGTGATCTTAGATCCCCTTTTCCAATAGTCTATCAAAATTTCTAATTTAGTGTCCCCAGTACATGGAAAACTGTCCTACAGTACCCTCATATGGATGTCTCAGAAGTTAAACAGAGGACATTAATATAATATACCTGAGTTATACATAAAAACACATGTGATGCCAGTTTGAGTTATAAAGCTGATTTCTAGCTTTTTTTTTTTTTTGGCACTAGAGACTTAACCTAGGGGTGCTTAACCACCAAGCAACATCCCCAGCTATTTTTTATTTGAGACAGGATCTTGCTAAATTGCTCATTAAGTTGCTGAGGCTAGTCTCAACCTTCCAATCCTCCTGTCTCAGCCTCTTGAGTTGCTGGGATTACAGGCATGTGCCACATGCCCAGCTGATTTCTAGATTTCATGGTTGATCTGTAGTCTGCCTTTCTCCCTATTAACTTCAGGGTATAAAAGAAAAGTAACTACTCCAATTTTATTCTGATTTCACTGTATTATTTCCTGTCTTTTAGCTACTTTACTGCTTATGAATGCATACAGTAAAGGTTGGCTACAGAGAAAAACTGAACCAACAATTTGGTAAAAATAAATACATATTACACATACTACAGTTTATATATGACAATTTTATTTTCTACTTTTTAAAATATTACTTCATGTGTTAAAGAACATAGATATTATCACCATCCCTGTTTATAGTACAAGTGCTACTGAAAGAATTACAGGTTAAAATCCTGCCTAAATCCCAGTGATGGTAGCAAGCATGCTTAGAGCAAAAAAGCAATTTGGCTGCCTTTCTCTATACTAGTCTTCAAGGTGAGGCTGTCTATTCTCTCATGAAAGGGAGAGCACCAAATAAAATTGGAAAAACAGGGCTAGGGTTGTAGCTCGGTTGGTAGAGTGTTTGCCTTGCATGTGTGAGGCACTGGGTTCGATACTCAGCACCACATAAAAATAAATAAAATAAAGGTGTTGTGTCCAACTACAACTAAAAAAAGTGGAAAATGTACATATAAAGTTCAACAATTTGTCCTGAGTTACATCTTTATGATGAGTTAATTATTTAAAACTCCAAAGACATCAAATTTATCCATATTCTAAAATATGCACCATGTCCCCACTCCAGAGGGTGCTATTGTCTAGTTGCCACATTTATTTTTCTTTTCTTTACTTTTCTTTTTTTTGTCACAAGTGCCAGTCCAGTTTCTACTATTGTCAGCTTGGGGATATAGCTCAGTTGGTAGAGTGCTTGCCTTGCATGCATAAGGCCCTGGATTCAATCTCTAGCACCATCAAAAAAAAAATTTAGTATCTACTATTGTCAATCACTGATATAAGTGGCTCAATACAAGGACAATCTGTAAAATCTGTTGGATAGTGCTATTGTTTAGATATAGTTTGTCTCCCAAAATTTCATATGCTGGAAGCTTGGTCCCCATTGTGGTGGTGTTGAAGTGGTGGAACCTTTAAGAGGTGGGGCCTAGTGCAAGGTAATTGTGTCATTGAGGATGCTAGCCTTGGAAGGGATTCATGCTGTCAGGTCTGACAGAACTGGATTAGCTCCTGCTAGTGTAAGTTGTTTTAAAGTGAGGTCACCCCACATGCTTGGCCTCTTCTGCACATGGCTAGTTCCGTTTTGGCTTCTCCACCATGTTGTGATGTAGCCTGAGGACCCTTGACATTTGAACCTTTTAGCCAGTGGAATTGTGAATCAAATAAACATCTTTATTGACAAACACCCAGCCTTGGGTATTTTGTTATAGCAACATGAAATGGACTAGTACAGATAAAGTCCTTAATCATTCCTATCTCTACTAGCTCTTCTTTAAGCAAGATAAAGATCTTTCCTTCAAACCACTTCCTTTGCCCTGACATCTTATATTGCTTTACTGATGATACAAGGCTGCACTCAGAGAGTCAGATAGGGTCTTGGTTGCATACTTTCCCATTATCACTGATAAATCATATTTCTCCACTGGGAGCATCTCTTATAATCAAGAAAATTATTCCACATATTCCAAATTTTTATAATACAATTGAAAGTATCAGTTACAATCACTTTGATTATGGAATGTCCTCCAAATAAAACAAGACATAGATTAATTTCAAAAACTACAATAGTATTTCCAGAGTCACTGATAAAATTTTCACTGACTAAAAACATTTGAACAGCAGTAAGTCATCATCAATAATCCCAAAAGTTGGTTAAGAGGTCTGATACAGTCGATTTTTAAAGCCCAGGTAGCACCTAAATTCCATATAATGTGGCTAACATCAAGCAAGAGTTACAAGTTGGCATGCAATGGAACCTTTCTCAGAAATATTGTTCTTTACTTTTAAGAGGCAGCAGTATTTTTTTCTTTAACTGACAGAAGGATTCAGCCCTGCATAGTTGCATAGCTGCCTACATTCTTTAAAGAAATTTTACTTGGCATGCAGGCTCTTATCAGTCACTCCTATTGATGGATAGCCAAAGACACTGAGACTGATAACTTGTTGACCAACCAGATGTCATTTACACATAGAAAACTTCAGACATTGTGAAATTATTTTCTAACAGTTTAAGAATATTTACAATTCAAACATATAGCATATGGATCCAATTACACATTTTTACAACAGTGTATTGAATAAAACAGGGTCTCTAGAAAAATCACATCAGCCTCTTTTTTCCCTCTCTGCTGTAAGGTTTTTTTTTGTTTTGTTTTGGTTTTTCTACTGGAAATTGAACCCAAGGGCACTTTACCACTGAGTAACATACTCAGCCCTTTTTATATTTTGTTTTGAAACAGGGTCTCACTAAATTCTTGAGGCTAGCCTCAAACTTGCCATCCTCCTGCCTCAGCCTCCCAAGTTGCTGTGATTACGGGCATGCAGAACCACGCCTAGCTCTCTACTGTAAAATTTTCCCAAATTTTACTAGGTTTTTTCAATAGGAATATACCAAAGAATTTTAGCATAGGCACTTAAAGAGTTCACGGTAGCTGCTAAGTGCAGGTAGACATTTTACCTCCTTGGTTGGAAGCTTGTGGAATATAGGGTGGGGGAGGGAGAACATGAGAGGCCAGGGTCAGTTGGAGCAACAGGGAAAGTGTGATCAATGGGTGGCCACCCACAAGCACAGTTTTGCACTTACTTTCCATTTTATGTGGCCTTTTGCCTGGCTTCAACAAATAAAATTATAATAACAAGGTTGGCCTCAACAGATGAACTTATACTAATAAGGCACAAACTAGCAACTGGTTTCAATTCTATTTCTTGCTTCTTAACCTTCTAAAAACTGTTCAATATGTAGCATATGCTATCAAATTCCAGGAGATCTATCTTCTCCCATGGCCCAGCCCACTTAGCCTATGAACAGGTAGGATAATGAGAGATCCCTTACTTCTCTTTCCTCAACTAATACTTAGGTAAAAAGAGATGCACTATCAGATCCTGGAGTGTCTTTATCCCCTATCCTGGCTGCACAACCCTATCTGCTTCCAGATTCCATGGAGTCTCACCTGGCCTGTGTTATCTCTTATAAGGAAAATCCTATCGGTATTCCCCCTTCATGCACCCCTTCGGCAAGAGCATGAGGAATCTATCTTACACCCTAATGTGGTCCACTCAATCATTTGTCTTCTAAAAAGGCATTGCAACTGAAGCCTCATGCCTCACCAGAACCTGGAAGGCAATGAAAAACTGTTCAATGATAGTCCCTCAGGAGAGAGAAGATGGTGGGTAAGAGATAGCTTTAAGGTAGCACTTCACATGCCTTCTATCAGGTACATGTAAGGTCACCAGGGCAGGGTTGTTGCTCTACAGACATTCTGCAAGTAGGTAAAATTTTCTTGCCTGAAAGTAACATCATTACCTTCTGTCACAAGCCTATTCTTTATCTCTCTCTCTCTCTCTCTCTCTCTCTCTCTCTCTC